TGGCAGCTTTTGGGTACTGTAGAATATAAGTGACAGGAATTATTCCCTTTGTATACGCTGGAAGCAGATGGTTTATTTTCATTAATTTAATTCTACATGTAAACGTACTGCAGCTTGGGATGAGAATTAAAAAAGAATGACAGCTTTAATTTTTCACTTGAAATGTGTGGTTTTGAAAACGGCCATACCACGCTATATATTATGGATTTGAGGTTCTCCGTCTCATGATTAAGGGTAACGATGCCCGAGCTGCGAGTTAGGAGCCCTCAGTCCTCGCCTTGCTCTTTGTGAACCTGCTACATGACCTTAGACGGGCCATTTAACCTCTTTGTTCTCCCCTTTCCCACCCACACAGCGAGGGCAATAATACTTGCTCTGTCTACCCTAGAGCCGACTAGAGTGGAAGATAAGCACAGAAAAATGACACAACAAGAAAAGAGACAGGTGAGATGTGGGCAAGGTGGTGATGGGAAACTAAATTTGAGAGCTGGGGCAAGAAGGTAACTGTTGATGGCATCGGATGTACCCACCACTGAAGGCTTCTACCTTGGAATTCTGTCCAGTTCCCACGTTCCCAACTTTCTACATCGCTATCAGTAAATATTGACTGAGGGCTGACCAGATAAATACAAAAGAATGGTTGCCTCTGGGGGTGGACAGGGATTGGCTGGAAGGGGACATGAGGGAATTTTCTGGGGTGATGAAAATGTTCTGTAGTATATCTTGGAAGAGTTTGGGTTAGACACATGTATTTGACAAAACTCATCAAACGGTAACTTAAAATTTGTGCGTTTCACCGCATATACATTTTCCCAAAGAAAGTAAGCAAATTTTGAACTCTAATTAATGATAGGCATGCTGAAGTGTTAATGGGTAAAATACACTGAAATCTGCAACTTACTTGGAACTACACAAAAAAATAAGATGGATTAATGGATGAATAGGAGGCTGGATAGACATGTGACAAATCAAATATAGCAAAATGTTAATTATAGAACCTAGATGGTAGTATACAGCGTTCCCTGTAAACTTCTCTTAACTCTTCTGTATGCTTGAATATTTTCGTAATAAAAGGTTGGAGAGGGAGGGATGGCTGATAGAAACAGTAGGTTTCAGGAGGGTTCAAAAGCATAAGAACACCAAAGGCTAGGGGAGCCCAAAAAGGTGACAAAAACTGGACCTTGAGAAAGGCAGCACTTAGATAGCTCAGAGAAAGCTGAAGGCATTCCCAGGAAGGACAAATGGTCTGAGTGAAGGAGCAGAGGCAGAACTTACAGGGCGTGGATGGAAGCTCAGCATCTAAGGGGAGCTGCACGACTCATTAGAAATCTCCAAGCAATTCACACCTCTGCTGTTTTAACCCACTCACCCAACAAGTGAGACAGGAATATGCTATTAGTCTATTCTGTACATGAGAAAATCCCTTCCCATTGACAGCCCTCGGGACTGAGCACCTACTATGTACCAGGCCTGGAAGTAAAAGGATAAACCCATTTGCTGCCCTTTGAGACTCACACCTGGCTGGAGTGACAAGCAGTTCAATATGTCACAAAAAGGGCTCCTGCAGAAGTAACTCAGGGCACTCAGACAACAGAGGAGGGGACCCAAGTCTAGGAAGGCTTTCCAGAGGGCGACAACTCTCACGGAGTGTCACTCCATGAAACTCTTCTGTGTGGAATTAAATGCTCCCGTCTCTGGGTCCACATTATTTTCTCTGTACTGCTATCAGAGTTATTTTATACTTCAAACACAAAGGAGAAATTAAGCAAAGATCAGGCGGCAAAGGGGGTAGGAGTAGAAGTTAGCAAGTTGACTTCCAGGGAGAGGAAATGGTTTAATCAAGTTTAAAAGAGATAGCATAAATGTCCAGGACACTGAAATTGGTTCCTAATGACCAACGCGACTAGAGTTGAAGGGGAGAGGCGGCAAGAGACGAAGCTGGGGCACGGGGCAGAGGCCAGCCCTACAGGCCTTGGGGTCAGGGACAACAGGCAGTCGTCCAAGGGTTTCCAAAGGAGAAAAGCCTGAGGATTTGTGCTTCAGAAAGAAGAAGCAAGTCAGTAACGAATAATGAACACACGATTACCATTGGGTTTACCTGAGAAATGGAAAAGATATTTTCCAGTTGCTAAGCTGTGAAGACGAGGTCAATTACAGGAGATAGAAAAAATTTTACCATTATAGGCTCTGTACTTTTCTGTCATTCAATATTAGTTTGCTTGTTCAAACATCAACTAAACCCTATAACCAATTAATTAAATTGAGAATACCAGATGAAGGTATTTTATGTCAGAGAAGCATTTTCTACCTAATCTGTATGTACTTGCTCCCAAAAATAGGAGGGAAAGAGAAGAAAGGATGAGATGAAGGTAGTATCATCAAAATTTCCCAGAGACTAGGGGTACACAAAGTTTTCTTAAATGAGACATAAAAAGCAATGACCATTAATGACCAAAATAATTAGGTGAACCATATTAAAATTAAGAACTTCTGTGCATCCAAAGGCATGGCTAAGAGAGTGTAAAGGCAAACACAGCATGGAAGGAGACAGTCACACACATTTCCAACAAAGAACTCTTACTCAGAATATAAAGAAGTCCTACAAGTCAGAGAGAGACAAAAAGAAGAACATCCAACTGGAAAAAAGGACAAAGCACCTATATAAAAGAGTATCCGAGTATCCAGAACCATACGAAAGGTGTTCAACTTTGCTGGTCATCAGGGGAATGCAAATTAAAGCCCAGTGCTACCCCATTACACCCCACCCTCACCACCAGAATGGATAAAATGACTACAAATGTCAAGTATTAGTGAGGACTTAGAGCAATCGCAACTCTCACTCAATGATGGTGGGAACTGGTACAACGACTTTGGAAAAGTATTTGGCTCTAAAGCTGAGCACATGTATACCCTACACCCAGCATTCCACTCCCAGAGATATAGCCAACAGAAATGTCTACAGGTCCACCAACGCATGTGCCAAAATACTCATAGCAGCACTATTCTTAATAGTCCCCAGATGGAAACCACCCAAATGTGCTCAATCGTCAAATGGATGAATAAGTTGTGGTGTGCTCACACAGTACAGTATTCTACAGCAATGAGAATAAATGGTGACGGCAGCAGGGGTGGTGATAGTGGCAGCAACAATGGTGGCAGTGATGATGGTGGTGGTGATGGTAGTGATAATGTTGGTAATGGTGGCAGTGGTGATGATGATGGTGATGGTGGTGGCAGTGGTTGTGATGGTGGTGATGGTAATGGTGGTAGCAGTGATGATGGTGGTGGTGATGGTGACGGTGGTGGTGCAATGGTCATGGTGGTGGTGGTGGTGGTGATGGTGGTGGTAAAAGTGATGGTGGTGATAATGATGGTGATGATGATGGTGGTGGTAATGACGGTGGTGGTGATGGTAATGGTGGTGATGGTGGTGGTTGTGATGATGGTGATAGTGATGGTGGTGGTGGTGATAGTGATGGTGGTGGCAATGATGGTGATGATGGTGATGGCAATAATGGTGGTGGTGGTGATGGTGGTGGTGGTGGTAGCAGTAATAAGAGCAGCCAACAAATCTGAGTACTAATAATATGCCAAGCACTAATCCAAGCACTTGGCGTATATTATCTCATTTAATTCTTGTAATAATCCTCCCATGTAGGTATTATTATTAGCATTATTTTACAGAAGAAGAAAATGCCAAGAGAGGCTAAATTACTTGCTCAAGGGAATACACAGCTAGTAAGTGAGAGCCAGGATTTGAACCTAGGCAGCATCTTCCAATGAGGAAAATACAACCTAGGTAGCATTTTCCAAAGAGGAGACAGATAGGGAGAACAAGTAAGACAACACAGACAGATATATGCTTCATTTCCGCCCCCACACAGACTTTCATTAAAATCATTGGGAGAGATATGGTAATAAAAGTTACCCTGAAATTCTCCCCAGTGGGACAAGCTCAGATTAACCATTCCTTATCCAATCCAAATTCTGTCTTTCATGATGTAAATTTTGCACAACAAATTCTCCCAAACTCATCCCTGGACCTTCCCTCTAGCTGGAACTAACCAGATGGCCTGTGGCTCTACCTCTAAGGAACATTTACTTCACTTGGTTTTTCCCATTATAATGTCATTAGCAGGAGGAGGGAGCCCTCTGCCAGGAAGTAATACATGCACAGTACATCCTTTCCTAGAAACTTAACCAGAACCTGTCAAGCTCCCACTGTATGCCTGGCTCACCTCACTTCTATATCAAAAGCACATAAACACCCCAAAGTTCTGCTAGCTTGCTTTCCCTCTTTTGTCTTTGTCTAGTCTCACTGGCCTGTCTAATTTCTCTAACTTTATTAAATGACCTGATTTTATTTCCACTTATTACTCTTGATACCTTTCCCTCCTCCTATACAATATCTTCCCCCTTTGATCAATCTGCTCACTAACCTCCAATATACTAGGTATTCTGCCATTATGCTGCCTCATTCAATTCTTAGAACAACTTTACACGGTAAATACTATCTCCCCTATTTACCCAGGAGGAAACTGAGGCATGTAAAGGATGAACAGCTAGTAAATGGTGAAGCCAAAATTTCAACACAAGTCTTATGTCCCCAAGCTACGTGTGCCTTAGAACCAGGAAACAGAGCACCTGCCTTTAAGAGGGAGTGCATAGGTTCTAAGTGTTGAACCCACAGAAAACACTGGGCTGGGCAGATTATGGGATCCCAGAGCCTGCTAATGTTTTTTCTCTTTATTCATTCATTCATTCAAGAATATCCAAGGATCTGATGAACATAGAGAGCACCGGGGATACAAAGGTGTATTCTTTGCTCTATTAACTTCCTTTGTGTGTTCTTTACACATAATTAGTATGCCAATTTCATTATGGCATCAAATTAAAAGTGGAACATGCTTTTAGACTCTGAAAACTGGTTATTTAAAGTGTTTCTTCTGCAAATAAAGAAGATAAACATTTCTGGGGTCAAAACTGCCTGAAATACCGACCTTTGGTGGTGAGAATTTTTGAGGTGACTTCCAGTTTCTCCAGCGGTTCCATTCCAATGTTTTCCAATTTAATGACAAGTTGCTGAGTTTCTCCATTGTAAAGCTGGACCGACACATTAGTAGATATTTCATCACCAGAGGAAGGTTGCAATGAATGTGCAGATCTAAAATAATAGTAATAAATTTTAAAAAGAAAGAAGAGAAGAAAACCAATGGCATTTTAAAATTATTCACATCAAATAAAAGGATCACCACACTTCTGCATTTCAGACATAGGAGCCAGGAAACTTTGGCTTTAAACATGGAATTCAGTACCCAGCTACTAGGAACAGAGGGTGAATCACCATGTGCAGAGTGTTTTCCACGGGCAGACGCATCCTGGGTCACTGACACGTTATCAACATGATCGCTCTCACTCAGCCTTAAGTTTCTTGTGTGTGTGAAGCAAAAAATACTTAATTATTGGATTATGGTGAGGGCAAAAATGAAACAATGAATTAATTCAAAAGATTCATGAGCATGTTACTCTCAAAAAAAATAAGAAGTCTCATGTTCAGAATTGCCTTGGGAAAATCCAGAGATTTAAGAAGAAAACTTAAATGAACCATTTGACTGATAACACAAGGAAGTGGAGCAAAAGAAAAATGAAACGTATATACAACAGATTCCATGTCACGGGTAAAAGCGATGGGCAATGCCTGCTGCGACACAGGGCAGCTGGTGGTGCCCTGGAGTCTGATGGTGTCTGTGCGGCCCCGTCCTTGGCACGAGTCAGGCGAGGCCCCGTGCTATGTGGGAGTGCAGCCCAGTGTCCTGAGGCCCCGAAGCTTGCCTGACATTCCCCTGAGGCTCCCGCACCACAGCCCTCGGTCTGAAGCTCTCGCCTGAGTTCCCCTGACTGTCACTTAATCCACAATGCTAATTACTCTGGGTGTCTCCTTCCCAACTCACAGGCAGCAAGGTGACTTCTGGGCAAGGAGGTCACTGGTGACCACAGGGCAAAGGCTTCTGGTGGCACAGTGGGGACAAAAGCCAGCCAACAATGAAGAGAGAGTGTGTGGTAGGTAGGGTTAAACATCATATACAATGAGCTGGAGAAGTGTGGCCACAAAAGAAAGAGAGGAAGTCACCAGAGGGGAAAGGGTCAATTCTTTCCTGGGATCTGAAAGGTTTATCTGGGTCTCCACTACCTCCCTCCCTGTCCCAGAAGGATTCCACAGAAGCCCCATTGGTCTAAATGTATGTGAGCCCACATCGTACACTTAATTGAACCAGAAATGGGCTGTGAAATCGACTAAATAGACTCCGGGCCACACAACCCGGCAAGTACCCAATGGCCTATCTGCTGACCAGCTCTTTCTAGCTCTGCTCCAGATCACAGCAGAAAGGATCAGGGTCAGACCCAAGTCCTGCTTCTATGCACCACAGGAGAGCTTCATATCCCCACACTATTTGGTCCAAAGGACAGAAAAGAATGTTCCAGACAGTGCTGCCCTCACACCTCTGCTGTCCAAGGGAAGAGACGATGTTTAAACAAGTTATGCGTACAGAGCCAGTCATGCCCTTCCTGGGCGCCTCCAGTTCCAGGCTCTGATAGAGGAGCTTTTATATGCAAACCACATTTTCAGAAAATAACAGTATAATGACTTGAGGTGAATTCCTTTGCATTTCATATCTTTAAAGTTGTTCATGAGTTAAGAAATAAACTTTCTCTGTCAAGAAAGGAAAAGTGACTCCCATCCTCATTCTAAATGACTTCTTTCCATACTTTAACATGCTGTCCTTCTCTAGTGAAAGCTGTTTGTAGTCAACGTGAATTTGCGGAGAAGGTATTCGGAAAAACTGAAACACAGCCGAGACTAATTACTTTGCATCTCAAACACACAGGATGGCAGCCCCTCTCGTACTGTGGGAAAAGAAGGAGGGGAGAAAGCAGAGATGTGACACAGCGCAGAGCCTGGCCCAGACACAGGGGGCTGACTGTCCCAAAGTACAGTGTCCCATGCGTTGTGAGCACTGGAGCTGGGATGAGACAAGAGCTGGCACTGAAAAGGGGCTGAGTCCCAAGTGAGCCTCAGCGATAAGATGGCAGCCGTAAATGTCCCTAGGGACTCCCAATTCCGACCAAGGTCAGGCCCCCAGGGAGCGGGTCAAGGTCCAGTCTCCTAGGAGGAGATGAGGGCAGAGCTCCTCTGCAGAGCGGAACTCCGACGTGGGAATACAGGTTTACATGGGCAAACCTTGGGAGGTAGGTATGAGGTCTACACCAACAAAACCATCTTTATTAAGGGTGTGGCCCCTGATCTCTTATCCATGTTGAGTAAAGCTGCCTCAGGATTGAGCAGCACTGAAGCTTCAAAGGGAGCACCAGTGCCTGAGGCCAAGCACAGCTGAGCACCAGGACTCCACAGCGGACAGGAGCGCCACAGCCACACCCCTCTGCCTCCAATAGATTCCACTCTTCGTGCTTCCCCTTCAAAAACAATGTCCCATCTCCTACTCGTGCTTCAGAAAGCAGCTCAGCCCCTGTCCGTGTACACGTAACAGCTCCTCCTTTGAGTCCCCTGAACACTCTGTGGGCAGAGCTGCCACCATTCTACATAGGACCACTCGCCCTAACCCCACACTAGATCAAAAGCTTTTTGAAGGTAGGGATGATGTTTTTATTTCTGTACTCTCAGCTCTTAGCCAGATGCCTGACATATAATGGGTACTCATTAAATTTGTGTTGAACAGACTAACAAGTATGTCAAATTTGAACCACCTGCTCGATACAGAAAAGCATCCTAACAATCAACTACACAGGCCCAGGACGGTGATTCACTGCACACTTAATGGGTACCTCCTAGGTCCCCGCCCAGTGAAACACATCTTCACATCGGCTGCTTGGCCATGGAGGAGTAAGAGCGCCCTACAACTCATCTCCGCACACTGCCCGACCTCGGCCTCCCTCTCCATCCGTCAGTGCTCACGCTGGCCCTCGAGCAAACCAGCACCGTTCGCTCAGCCTCAGACTCGCTGCCCTCTGCCTGGAAGGCTCTCTGCCACATCCCACCCACTCCCGCAGGCCTCTGCCCCCACGCCACCTTTGCTGTCGTGAGTATAAAAAGCAGCATCCCACTCGCCCCTCCCTGCTTTCTGTCTCTGCAGATCTGCCTTTACTGGACATTTTATCTTACCCTGCGTTGTTTTTTTCATAGCATTTAATTCTACTTCATTATGTTCTATATTTGTTTATTTATTTAATTGACTTACTGTTCACTTTTCTTGGCATATTTTCCTTGCTTGATTATCTAGCCAACTTTTGTGAATCTTGTAAGGCCCAAGTGAAACATCACACTCTCTATGAAGCCTTCCTGAACCCCAAAAGGGAGAGTGAACCTCCCCTCTCTTCCTGTTTTCACTCTACGGGAAGACTTAGTAAATCTGACTATAGTTAGTCTATCTCTCCTCCAGACATGAGCGCTTACAGGGGGAGAGGCCTGGGTCAAGGGCATTTCTTATTAATGGCTAGTCCTATAGCACAATGCCTAGAGGGCTTGGTAGGTGTTAATAAATGCTTGTGAGTGAACTGAATGAGTCAGTCACAGGGATATTTATATTAATTATAAGCAACACTCACTTAAAGAAAAGTCACTTTTTATTTCAGAAAATCTCATTAGCAAAATACACGTATTATACACAAGTTTTAAAAATAAGAAATAAAAAACAAACATTCTAACTCCAATTGGAACGCTGACACAGGGACCTCCCTCCCCCGGCCTCTATGCTCTCACTGAGGAACAAGTCCCAGCAGGGGATGCTGGGACCCACGCTCCACCCTGGGCTCCACGCTTCATGGGGTACGTAAGCTGGCCGTGGGCGCAGGTCTTCTTCTTGAGAGGTAACTAATACCACAAAGTACAAGTGCACAGCCAGACGGGGAGGGAAACCAGTTCAGGAAAGGAGGGAAGCAGATAGCAAGAGCTCTGTGTCCCTTTTCTCACAGCCACCGCTGCCTTACATTGCTAGAGAGATGGCCTTACTAGCACAAATGACACTGTCATCTTTTCCCAAAACATTTTTCCCTTTTGGAATAGCGCTTTTACTTTGTGCTTTTGCACCTTAAGCCACCTTGTCCTTTACTGAAGAGCTATGAGGGTTCACCAAGCGTGGGGCAGGCACACCGGTGTGACCTCGACTGCCAGCTCTCTCATCTCTCACCTTTAGTTCAGGGTCCTCAAACAAGCCAGGAGCACGTGCCTGAAATCGTGGCCTGAGGCCTGTGTCATCCGTAACCTGGCACCAGTCGGTGCTGCAGTGTTACAGGGAGCAGTAGGAGGCTATGATAGGGGGATGAAGCCTGAGCTGGGGGCTTGCAGAGTCGGCTGTTGAGCTAACACATGCTCAGAGGCAGCTCACGCCCTGGGAGCTCTGCTGTCCTCGTGTCCGGAACAAAGACAACAATGTCCTCCTGAGGCTGCCCTGGGCTTCCCTGAGATCAGTACTCTATGCTAAAGCCACCAAAATTCACTTTTTTTAAAACAGCCTAATTGAGGTATAATTTACATACCATGAAATACACTTGTTTTAGCTATGCAATTTAATCATTTTTAGTAAATTTACAAAGTTGTACTACCAACACTGATACTCAGTTTTAAAACATTTCCATCACTCCAAAGAGAGCCCTGGTGCCCACTGCAATCAATCCCTGCTCCCGCCCCCAGCCTGAGGCAACCACTAATCTGCTTTCTCTCTCGAGATCTGCCTCTTCTGGGCATTTCATATAAATGGAATCACACACTACGTGGCCTTTTGCATCCGGCTTCTTTCACTTTTTTTCTTCTTCTTGTTTCTGAGGCTCATCTACAGGGGGCATGTATCAGGAGTTCATTCCTGTTTACTGCTGAGTAGTCCTCTGTTGTATGGATGTACCACATTTTGTTTACCCATTCACCAGTTGCCAGACATTTGAGCTCTTTGCACTTTTTTTTGGTAATTATAAATAATGCTGCTGTGAACATTCATGTACACATTTCTGTGTCAATACATCTTTTCATATGTCTTGGGTCGATACCTAGGATTTGAATTACTGGGTTTTTTCATTTTCCTAATGGTGTCTTTGAAGTGCAAAGGTTTTTAATTTTGATAAAGTTCAATTTATCAATGTTTTCTTTTATGGATCTTGCTTTTGATGTCATATCAAAGAACTCTTTGCCTAACCCAAGGTCATGAAGATTTTCTCCTATGTTTTCTTCTAAAAGTTTTACACTTTTAGCTCTTACATTTAGTTCTATGATCCTCTTGAGTTAATTTTTTTCTGATTTCATTTTATTCTCCAATCACATGATGCTTTCTCTCACCCCTGGGGTTTCTCACAGACTGCTGTCTTTGTTAGAAAATTCTCCCGCCTACCCATTGTACATGGCTAATTCCTCCTCCCTCACCTAACCTATCACACCACACTCGACATCGCCTCCTGGAAGGTATCTTCCCTGAGCCCCTGTGATCTCCCACAGCCCCATCAGAGTCCCGACAATAGCAGACTGTGACTGTTTGGCTACCTGTCAATCTCTCCCACTTGACTGTAACTTCCTGTGAAGGCAAAGAGCAGGGCTACTGTGTCCACTCTCATAGCCCTAGCCTCTAGCACGGTGCCTGGAACTGAAAAGGGCCTGTCAAATATGTGAATGAGCTTTCAAAACACTTCAGAAAATCCCAAGATACACTTTACAAAAACAGCCAAAAGAACAAACATTAAAGCATTATTCATAAGAGTAAAAATTGAGACAATCTCAAATTCCAATAGCAAGGAAATGAATGGTGATACAATTTTGAGATGTCTTTATAATGCACTTTTTGAAGCAATTAAAATAGAAATTTTTTATCTTATGTTATATGGTTATGCAAAAAGTAATCTATGATACTACATATAATGTAGTATGATCTCAACTATTCAAACTACATATATTTTTTAAAAAGGACAGATAGGGCTGGCCCCGTGGCTTAGTGGCTGAGTGCGCGCGCTCCGCTGCTGGCGGCCTGGGTTCGGATCCCGGGCGCTCACCAATGCACTGCTTCTCCGGCCATGCTGAGGCCGCGTCCCACATACAGCAACTAGAAGGATGTGCAGCTATGACATACAACTATCTACTGGGGCTTTGGGGGAAAAGAAAATAAATAAAATTTTAAATAAATAAATAAAATTAAAAGGACAGATAAATACTGGAAGGAAATACCACAAAGCATTAATGATAATTGCTTCTGGGACTCCTGAGATTTATTTCCTTTTCTTTTTATGCTTTCTTATAAAGCTAAAAGAAAAAAAAAAGACTATTTTTTAAAAGATAAGAGTTTTTTCTTAAATTCCCTAAAACCTTGATCATCTTTCACAAAAATTATGATTCCAAAGGCTAATTTCACATTTTATTCTGTTCTTGGTAATAAACACTTCAACTTTGTTCCAATCCGCTTTAAGCAAAGCAAATTGCCAAGCGGTTATCTTGAAGAAACCCTTCACCCATACTCTGGTCATAAGAATCACAGATTAACTCAAACTTTTGGTGCCATTAAAAAAAGTATAACTAAAAAATATTCTTAAGCGCCGTTTCTTGTAAGAAAGTAGACTCTTAGCGTGCCTACCTGGGCAGAGAAGTGCTGATCTGGAGTCTGGGCAGAGCAGGAATGACTTCGACTGTGGAGCCGCTGGTCTTTATTCCCGGGAGGTTGTCCAGCAAACAGTCACTAAAGACACCAAAGACCGTGGTATGGTAACCTGGGAAACAAGAGAAAAGCTTCACACCACCTGCAAAGGCTTCACGCCTCATGCCTACACCTGAAGGCAGCCCCGGGGTAATGAAAAGAGAGCGGTCCCTTTCGGAACACCTGCGTCCAGTTCAGATTGAGGCCCCATCACTGCTAGTCTCACCCAGAGCCCCCGCACTCAACCCCGAAGGCCCTTGGCTTCCTCAAATGGAGAAGGGAGATGATAAGAGCACCTGCACTCCTGCTTCACAAGGGGACTGGGTCCAAATGAAGTGCGTATGTGAGAGTCTTTGTAAACTATAAATCGCTACACAACTTAATAATTAGTATCTCATCCCTTTACTAATTTGCTTTGCAAATGTATCCATCTCTAAAATAAGAACAATAGCTAGTATTCCTTTCCAGGTTAATAAATATTTGAAAAATGATTCAAAATCTTCCGTTGAGAGACAAAAATTCAAGAGCCAATTACTGTTATTATAACTACCATGTGATATGGCAAATGTGCTGTATGTGTACAAGTACTATAATTTAACATTAGCAAATTTTCCATGCAAAAAAAAACACTCCATTGGTCAGATAAGCACTTGAAATTGTTTAAGTAAAGCTGTAAAATGGCTTTTGAAATTTTGAGAGATAATTATCATAAACAACATTCACTGTGTAACAAAATTAAACAATACCCAATGGCTAAATGCCTAGGGCAACAAGTTTTCTGTATTCATATTAAACGGTTCTGTACTAAACAGAGAAGCAAGCAGTTACCTCAAGGCAAATTAGGGCCCTTCTATAGCCTCCTCAACGCTCCCCTTTACCTTCTGCCGGTTTTAAACTGGTTTCTCAACTTAAAATAACTCCAATTCACAGCACCCACACTTCCTTCTTTTTAAAGTATGTTTCTTAAAAGACTTCTTTAATTTAACTTGCAAACATTTTCCTCCCTAGGAACCCACATCAGGCACTAAAGCCTCCTCATATTTTTTTTCTATAAAACCTGATATTATGTGGTTTTGTCTGCTAAGCAACCTTTGTTTTCCATTTCTTAATTAAAATCAACCATTTTCCTTTTCTTACCCATTGCTGAAAATGATTGCAAATAAACCCAAAATCTGATGACGAATCCTCTGTGTTATGCCTGATAATACAAGGCCAGCCCTTCCACTTCGTATATAATGTGTACCAAAAATGAACACTAACTAGTCTGTACCAAGGATAAACAGCTAAGAACTTTGTTACTTAGGCTCTGAACCTTACTCGTCCAGGAACCTACTGGTGATTGGTTGTGTGTTACTCTGAACCAAGCTTTTCGGTCCAATTATTTCCTCTCTAATCCCTCTCCTTTGCTCCACCCCCCACCACAGCTCTGGTCCTACCTTTGTCCCCAGATTATCGCAATAGCTTCATAGTTGGTCTCCCTGCCTCCAGTCTTGCCCATCTCCAGCCTATTCTCCACAAAGCAGCCTCAGGGGTGCTGCTTTATCGCTCCTCCATTCAAATCATATCACTCCTCCATTCAAACAATGCAGCAGCCCCACTGCCCCAGGAGAAAGCCAACGTCCCGCAGCACGATTTACAAGGCCCTTCTGGGCCTGCCCTCTGTCTACCTTCCCAGTCTCATCACTACCACCTCTCTGCCTTGGACCAGCTACTCTGAGTCACCTCCGTTCCCCAACACACTGCGTTCTCTCTTACCTCCGGGTCTCTGGACCGGTTGTTCTTTCTGCCTGGAACCCCCTCAACTCCCCGCTCCATTCATTTGGATAGTTCCTAGTTGGACTTCAAACCTCAGGGTCACTTACTAGAAGTCCCTCTTGACCCACTCTCCCCTTCTGGGCCACCTCTCCCCCATGTTCCCACAAGCCATGTGCTGGGCCCCATCTCAGCACTTGCTGCAACACATCCTAACCTAGGATGACGCCTGCCTCATGGCTTGATAGAGAACACCCTTTCCCAGAAATGTTTCTTCCTTCAGCCAACAAATATGTACTGAAGACGTACTACGTGCCAGGTGCTGAGGATCCAGCTGAGCAAGACAGACAAGGCCAGGAAGGCAAAGGCCAGCAAGCAATTACAATTAGTGACATGAAGGAGGGACATGCACAGAGTGTCGTAGGAGCACCGAGCAGGGCACCTGATCCAGCATAGAGAAGCTGAGGACGGTCTCCAGGAGGAAAGGAGGTCTGAGCTGAGAAGCAGAGGAGCCCAGGAGCCAGCCAAGTCTGGAGGCATGCCAAGAAAAGGCAAAGCACAGGCAACGGCTCGGAGAGCTTGGCGTGTTTCCAGAAGAGACGTCTATGAGAGTGGAGTGTAATCCAGAAGAGGAGGGGCAAAGAGGAGATCACAGGGGCTGGATCACACGGGGTTCCAAGCCGTGCTAAGGAAGTTAGCCCTGATGATGAGGGCACTGTGAAGGCACTAAGACTCATGGTCAAGAGACGACATGATCGGATTTACACTGCAGAAAAGTCACCTGGCTGCAGGATGGAAAACGAATTTATTAGCAAGCAAGACTTGGGGCAGAATGACCAGTCCTGATGCTTTTGTGACAAACCGTATAAGAGGGTCATGTTCTGTGGAGTGGCTGTGGAGGTGAAGAGGAGTATTGATGACACAGTCAGTAACACAGGGGTGAGTGTGAGAGAGACAGGAGGAGTTAAGGATGACTCCCAAGTACCTGGTTAGGGCAACTGCTAGACGGTGATGCCCTGACTGAGATGGGGAGGGGCACCTCCGGGGAGGAGGTGATGTATTCTGGCTGGGATATATTATATGTGAAGTGGCTACGAGACAGCCAAGGAGATGGCTGGTTAGCGGCTGGATATGCAGGTTCAGAAAAGGGGTCTAAGACAGGAGACCCTAGGAATTAGCAGCATACAGATGGGACCTGAAGCCAGAAAAGTGGATGAGACTGATGGGATTGCCTAGAGCTGCCACATGGAGAAAGGAGGGGAGGGGGGAAGAGAGGGAAGGAAGGGAATAGAGAAGAGAGGAAGATGGGGAGAGAGGGGCAGGCCCAGGCTTGGGGGAAGGAAGGAGAGGAAGAGGAAGCAGAGGGAGGGCGGGAGAGAGGAAAGCACAGAAGCTGGGCCACGAGCAACACTGTCCTAAGGGTTGGGCTGTAGAAGCGGCAACTGGGGAAGAGACTGACTGAAAAGGAAGGCGGGAGAGGCAGCAGAAAACCAGAGGGTGTGCCATCACAGAGACCAGGAGACAGAGCACCAGGAAGGCGGCGGGCAGTGGTGCCGAAGGCTGCTGGGCAGTGAAGTTAGATAGAAACCGAAAAGCAGGCGCCGCACTTAGTGGAGTTGGGAGGGCTTAACTGTAGTGGGAGAAGCTTGGAGCACGTTTGCAGGCTCATTGGAAGAAGTCAGCAGACCGGAGAATGGTGAAGATGAGGGAGAGGAGAGGGGCGATGAGGCCAGAACACAGAGTGAGGACCCCTCCCGCTGTAACAGGAGCACGGCACCACATCCTGCACACTCAAAAACGTTTCATTTCACATCCCAAAGAACTGCAGTCTTCCCATTATCTTTACATTGGGTGGGACCACAATGCCGGGTGACCAGTGACAGGCCTCAGTGAGGCAGTACAGGAGGTCAGCACTTCTACTCCACCTGAAATCAGAAGAGGAATTCTCCTTACCATTCACAGTAATCGTTCCAGTCGTCTGTGGGACCCCAACGAGCGTCACCGGGTAAAGGCCAGATTCAGCTGGAAGGGAAAGCGCTGCAGGGAGAGACTCGAACTCCACGCCACTCGTGAGAAGACCCTAAAGCAAGTGATGGAGCAACATGAATAAGCACAGCCCAAACCCACCACTGTTAGCCAGTGCCAAACTAGCCACTGCACATCTACTAACAGGCAAGCTCCAGGACTCCCAGAATGAAACAGCTTTTATAAAATCCGCAGAGAATTGCAGAGACAGTCTAAAAGTGTGATTAACACAAAACAATCTTGGAAATGGAAAGCACTATGGGTGCCTAAACAACAATTCCATCTTGATATTATCCCTGATTGCTATATTTTTTATCTTTGTTTTGATTTGTTGTTTTACCAAATGAGAATGTAAACAAAGAAAAAAACCATAAAGTGTGGAAATATATTATCCATTAATATCCCTCTGGTGCACTTAAGAACTATCAATTCATTTCAATATGTACCAGGTACTTGACGGTGAACAAGACAGATTCTCTGGCCTCAAGGAGCTGCCCCCTGAGTGGAAACAATGCAGGGATGTCTGTGCTCAGCACTTCTCCTCAACATTGTAATAGAGGTGCTACCCAGTACAATAACGCAAGAAAAAGAAATAAAACGCATAGGACAATTATTCACAAAAAACAAAACTATGAACATAGAACACCCTGTGGAATGTAGAATGAAATATGAACTAACGAGCGCACTTAGCAAAGTGACAAAGTCAGCATAAAAAAGAGCAAAGGTATTTCTATAACCTAACAATAAACAATTAGAAAATAAAATGTAAAAAATACCATTAACAAGAGATTTTTAAAAATCAACTATCTTGGAATAAATCTAATGAATGATGTGTAAGAATTCCCCATTGAAATCTACAGAACATGGTTGAGATGAATTAAAGACGACCGAAATGAAGGAGAGATCCTGGATTCTTTCTAGTAGGTTTGTTTTCTGCAGTGCTATGGTCAACACAACCCTGAAACTATTTTAGATTACAGGACTGAGCAGATGAGAACGTGTTGATGTTGTTGTGAGCCAAGTTCTCACAATGGAGGACAGGACATAGACATGGAATGGAGGAAGGAAGAAAGAACACTATGGAGATGGATTAGAATGGGAGGTATCACTGGGAAGTCAGGAGTTACAAAATGTGTATATGCATGCATATGGGCACGTGTGTATACATATACACACACGTAGATGTATGCATGCAGGTATATATGTAAGTACATGTCCTTGTGTACACACATGCATACTCCTCCTAACTCTGTCTGCAGAAAACACGCAGAACCAAAGACACTCTAGCAGCAATGAGCACACCTGTGCCCAGATTTTGAGCAAAAGCATGAGGTGATCTAATGATGTGTGGAACAGATGTAGTGGGCAAGAGCGAAAGCAGAGAAACCAATTAGACGGCCACGGCCTCTAGGCAAAATATTGGCATTTTATTTCTTTTTAAAACAGCTAAAGCAAATAGGGCCAACTATTATAATTTTCTAAACATCAATGGTGGATATGCGAGCGTTTATTATTCCCTGTAACATTTCATGTGTTTGAAATATTTCAAAATTTTTAATTTTTAAAAATTTTAACTTAAAAATTTTTTTTAATTTTAACTTTTAAAATTCTGACCATGATTTGTGGGCTATCTCTTAGTGATAATTTTTATTTTATCATTTGTTATTCTTGATTTTTTATAAAAAACACATCTTACTTTTAAACCCAATAAAAATGAAAACCACTTTTTAAGATAAAAAATGTATAAGAAAGAGCATCAGACATATGATACTTTAACCACTTTGGGGGAAATTCTCTAAACAACTATTATTCCCTGTTTAGGCCAAGAGACACAAGTCACTAAAGGGCCTGGCCAAGAGCCAGATCCTAAGGCCAGCATGTGTCTGCACAGCAGGAGGAGGAGGAAAACACTCATCCTGTAGTCTTTCTCCGAATGACCTCAGGACTGTACGCTTAATATTCAGTGAGTTTCTAAGAACTCAAACAGATTTTAGAAAACTATGCCTCATGCTGGAAGCCTAAACATCACCTACAATGACTACCAGTCTGCCTGGCAAACTCTAACTCATCCTTGTATTCTCAGCTGAGCCGTCCTCTCTCCCAGGAAACCTTCCCTGACTCTCCACGTGGGTCCTGCGACACCTTGTGCACCTCCACCACAGCACTGACCACAGTCATGGCAGGGACCAGGCTCCCCCATGCCTCGCACAGGGCCTGACGTGCGGCCTGGGCACTCAGCAAGGTACCTGCATGAAGAGCCTTCCTCTTACCCTGAACATGAGTCGTACAACTCTAAAGGAAAACGCCACCTCTCTCAACACTATCCTTTGCACGTCACTGAAAAGTTACAATTAGTACTGTATAACAATAAGCATAGAGAAGACTCGAGGAATGGAATCCACATGGTGAGCAGGTGGCTTTGCTCTGGAAACATTAGAATTAGCGTGGAGAGCCAGTACAAATCTCCTTCCCACTGACTATGGAATTAGGTGAGCAGTTCCAACAGACACCACTACAAAGTGAACATTTAACGCCCTATACAAAACACAGAAACAGAACATCGGATTTCAAACCCCAGAGAAATCTCACAGTAGTAGGGCAGTAATTTATTCTCTTATTCTACAGAGCTTGCTCTCCCCTTAGGCCTTGATCATCTTGTCATCTTGTAGCAATAAAGTAATGCTGATTTTGAGTAGCAGGCATAATATAGACTTTGTAATCTGTGCTAATCTCATGTAAATTTCAACATGATTATTTCAAACCGTATATCCAATCAGCTAAGCTCAGAGTCTGCTCAAATCAGAGGTATCTTTCTTTGTTGATTCAAACATTTATTGAGTACCATGCACTAAAGGCACAGGAATGACAAGATGTGGTCTTCCACTCGCAAACAGTTTATAATCTTTGGCAAAACAAATATATATCATAGAATGTGTGCCTCAAATATTAAGTAAAAAACATGTTTTAATGGTAAGTTGGTGTTTAGCCCAAAAGGGTCAAATGATTGGTGATACATACCATGTTTTCAACTCGGAGTTCAAATGGCATTGGGTTATATACCATCAGCTGAACCTCACATACATCTCCTTGAACCCACTGGAAATCTAGAAATACACACACACAAAAGAATCCATGTGTTAGTTGGCACTCTGCATGTTTCACATGGTTTCAGATTACTCCTCTGGCAATTTATTTTTCCATTGAGGCAGTGGGCATTATGATCATCTTGAGATAAACAATTCAAAGCTAGTTTTTACCACTAGCTTTCTCTGAAACACAGCAAGTCATCACCGCCACTTGGATGCTCTGTGACTGAGTTTCTTGTCGTCTTCAGCAGGCTGAACTCATACCAGCATGCCAAATGCAGCCTCACAAAACTGAAATCAATCCAGACAGCACTGTTCTTGGTGAAGAGCCACAAGTCACACAGAACCTCCCTGGCCCAGAGGATGGTACTTAGGAAGATGGTGTTGCAGTCATTTTTAAGTGGCATATAGCTTGATTCCTCCATCCTCTTGCTGAGATTGTAAGAGAAGATGGTGGCTTCTCTTCCCTGACTACTCCCAGGCCAGCTGCAGTTCAACACCTATGGGAGGCAGAATTCTGAGATGACCCCCAAGACTCCCTGCCTGGTATAGATGCCCTGTGTAGTCCTCTCCCCTTGAGTGTGAATATGATGATTAGGTTATGTTATACAACAAAGCTGAGGGGATTTCACAGGTGTGATTAAGGCCCCCAATCAGTTGACTTTGAATTAATCAAAAGGGAGATTATCCTGGATGGGCCTGATCTAATCAGGAAAGCCCTTAAAAAGGACCATACCCTTCCTAAATGAAAAGATTAAAAGCAGGAGAGGGCCTGTGAAGGTGGCCAAACGGCAAGGACCTGAGAGTGGCCTCTAGGAGCTGAGAGTGGTCCTGGCTGACAGCTAACAGGGGCATCAGTTATACAACTGCAAGGAAATGAATGACGAACAACATGAGGGAGCTAGGAAACAGATCTTCGCCAATCAAGTCTCCAGATGAGGACACAGCCCTAGCTGACACCTGGATTTCAGCCTGTGAAACCCTAAGCAGAGGACCCAGCTAACACACGCTAGACTCTTGACCCAAGGAAACAGTGAGAAAATAAATTTGTGTTGTTTTAAGCCACTAAGTTTGTGGTAATTTGTTACAAAACAAAAGAAAACTAATACAGTACCCATCCCCACTTCCATTGCCCTCTCCTCCCTTTAAGATACTCCATTAGGTAAATCAGAAGGAACTTCAGAATCAACTAACAAGTGTTGGCACTTGTGAGGTGAGGCACTTCGAGCAGGTTATCTCATTCCTCTTCATAATTACCTTGTGAGATAGGGACTATCATCCCCATTGTTACAAGGCAGGTACCCAAGGTCCACACAGGTTAATAACCGTGCCTAGGAATCACAGAGCTAGTAAGTGGTGCCACAGAGATTCAAGCCCAGGTCTTTGAACTCAAAGAGGCATCTAGAATGGACATTGGCGGTTAAAAAGGCTTTTTCTAGAGTAGATACTAAGATTTATTGATTAGCATTCTTCAGCTTTCACAGAGCTTCCATAAAGACACCGCTTTTTCCAAACACTCTGCACCAGGCACCCTGCACAGAGCCTAAGACAGGCTCCACCAAACCTTCTCTTCTCGCTCTTCTGCTCTGCCTGCTCCTGGTTCCAGAAACCCAGGTCTCCTCCCTTCTTCATCTCGCCTCTCCTTATCCTGGCCTCCCAGGCTCCCAGGCTATGAGAACCTTCCAGGGGAGGTTCACAGAAGTCTTTCTCCAGAGCACACTGTGCACACACCCCGACCCTTCTGCAGTATCGCTGAGCCTGGCACTGACTAGGTGGTTAGCACGCCAGCCCCTTTGTCACAGTGATGAAGACGTCACTTGTTTTAACATGTTGCTATGCTTGGTAGTCAAGGAACTGTTTGTTTTCTGTCATAACCAAAAAACTCATCGTTAAAAAAATCATTTTCCTGGGCTTCTGAAAGGAGTTATTTATACTTGCATGGTCCTAGTCTACTACAGGTAAACCTAAGATAAAGCACTGATTACATGAATAGATATTTCTGTCTGAAAGGAGGAGATCATCTCCTCTCCATGCCTTAGAGTGTCAAAGCAAACGGGGGAGCCCTTTCGTTGACACTTCCTCCCAGAAACAGTGGGAAGGAACAGCAACTGATGGCTACAAAACACCCACTCTGTATGAGGTCCTCCCCACTCTGTGTTGTACACCATGTGTATTGTTATCCATGGACGAACAGCATCTTCTGGTTGCTTTTGCTGACAGGTTCGTCTCTTTCTACTTCACTGGACGGACTCCTCTGGCAGGAAGCACTCCTGATTGCTCACTGCATCCCCAGCACCTGAACGGTACACGCAACTGCTACTCAGAACCGTCTCTGAACGGCTGCTAGGTAGTTTAGGAACACTGTCTCACTTGGCCCTCAGAAGAACCTCTGAGTTAGCTTTGCTTGTCCCCATTCTGTAGACAGCACAGCTGCAGCCCAGGGAGGTAAGACCACTTGTCCGAGGTGGCACAGTGGGAAGTGACAGCTGCAGGGCCAGGCTGCAGCCCAAATCCATCCAACAGCTACAGCCTGTCCAGACCACCACTGCTGGGGCAGGTGTCGACCTGAGCACTAGGCCTGGCCACACCACAATGTCCTATCACAAATTATGTAAAACCCTCACCCATGGCACGGAAGCCCAGGACGTGCACTGTAATCACTTCTGTGCAGAGTTTAACTCAGACGACAGTGACGCCAGCAACGTACAGACAGAAAGACTGGGAAATGATTCCAAGGTAGAGGGGAAAACAGTCTCAAAAACTGCCCTCAGGGGTTTCTGCTCTAATACTTACACCCTCTGCTGTGATGATAACTCCCCAATTATACACCAAGATTCATTTATAGAGATTGGAACTTTAGGTTAAAGATATGTGATTCTTGAAACCTCTAGGCACCATCCACTGATGAGTAGATTGCCAAAAAGATATTAGAAGCCACAGAATATAAATTACATTTTCCTACCCATGGGTGTTCAACAAATAACATGCATCTTGGCTGAAGCTTCTATTGTATCTCAGAAAAAATCCTGCAATATCCACGGAACTTATCCTCACACTCAGATGAGCAGGTGCTTCTCACTGTGATGAGGAGCCATATCATAAAGGAAAAACAATCCCTGGGCTTTGAGTCGTAAAATCTGGGCTGGAGCCTGAGCTCTGCCACTTACTAGCTCTCTGACCTGAGGCAGGTAATTTGTATTTGCTGAGACTTAATTTTCTCATCTGTAAATTGGGAATATAATGCCTACAGCATCATGGAATTATGAGAATCACTAGATAATGTTTGTTTAAGCCCTCTGCAATAAATGCAGAGTATTATTTTCATAAAAAGAAACTTCAACAATTTCTTAAGATTGCAGCGGACAAAATAAAGAGGTGGGGCTGGCTTCACGGGTGGCAACTCTGCAGCCACAGAGCCCTAGGCTCAGAGGGTCCTATGTTTGATTTATTTTTTTTTTTTAATTTTTTTGTGAGGAAGATCAGCCCTGAGCTAACATCCATGCTAATCCTCCTTTTTGCTGAGGAAGACCGGCTCTGAGCTAACATCTATTGCCAATCCTCCTCCTTTCCCCCTCCGCCCAAAGCCCCAGTAGATAGTTGTCTGTCATAGCTGCACATCCTTCTAGTTGCTGTATGTGGGATGCGGCCTCAGCATGGCCGGAGAAGCGGTGCCTCGGTGCACGCCCGGGATCCGAACCCGGGCCGCCAGTAGCGGAGGGCACGCACTTAACCACTAGGCCACAGGGCCGGCCCCCTATGTTTGATTTAATGTTCTGCTGTCACTGTCTCCAAATTCTCAACAATTTGTCAACAAGGGGCCCCACATTTTCACTTTGCACTTGGCCCCACAAATTATGTAGCTGGTCCTGAGAAGGAGTCTCATACCTCTAATTCTCCCAAATCACCTTTAGAAGTTTCTCTAAACAAAATGGGTGAAAATTTCCTAAAAGTGTTCTTTGGGGAGAACGCTTATTGCCAGCCCCAATGAGACCCAAAAAGAGCAGCCAGAGACCCCTAGGAAGTCCTAGAGAGAAGAGCCTCATCAGTTCCGTAACGACCAATCCAGGACCCACCCAGGGAAAGAGGAGCCCAGGAAGTGACTTGCCCACCACCAAGAGACAGCGAGTCAGTGGACCAGAACAGGACCCAGTCTTCCACCTCCAAAAAGACCCAAGGAGGTGTTTCCATGGGAAGACAGTCACTGCGCACTGGAGGTGGCCCAGGAACCCCCTGGCCCTCCCTGGTCAACCATGATGTCCACGCAGCTCCCCTCCTTCCAGTCCTCTCAAGCATGTTCTCCAGAGCAGAGAAGCAGTGGGGGCGGGGCGAGGGAGGAGCACAAGGTTGAGGGTGTCTTCCAAAATCAATAGACTAAAACTAGAATGTCAAAGACTCAAATTCACACTACAAATGCCTTCCTGGTCGGGCCTTTCTCCGGGACAACCAGCAAACAGTTGCAGTTGATCATTCATTCATTTTAATGAACATTTGCTGTTCATTCCTAGCACCTTATTATGTGATAGCCTCTGTTGGACAATGCAAACAGAGCTGCTGCTGCTGCTGCGATCACCAACGCAGGTGGAGCCGCATCATTCTGCACCACCACTGCCACCACCAGAGGGGCCACCGCCAGAGGGGCCAACAGGAGCAAAATGACTTCTGCCTTCCTGCACCTTCACCCTCAGGCAGGGGCTGCCCCATAGACCCTAAGAGAATCTTGTGGGGGCCAGCCCGGTGGTGTAGCAGTTAAGTTCGCACGTTCCACTTCAGCAGCCCAGGGTTCGCAGGATCGAATCCTGGGCACAGACCTATGCACCTCTCATCAAGCCATGCCGTGGCGGCATTCCATATACAAAATAGAGGAAGATGGGCACAGATATTAGCCAAGAGCAATATTCCTCAGCAAAAAGAGGAGGATTGGGAACAGACGTTAGCTTAGAGCCAATCTTCCTCACAAAAAATAAAAAGGAGAATCTTGCAGCCAGGGAGTCGGGGAAATGTCATGTGCAGGCTTTTAGCCTGAGCAGCACAGTGAGAGGAGCGGGTAGAGGTCAGAGGACCAAGAGGCAGTATCTGGCTTCTGGTAAACATCCGTGTGTACCCCTGACAATGCCTGACATATAATAGGGGAATCAATGCCTATGTGATGGATGCGAGAATAAACAAGCAAAATCATTTCCCAGGATGCAAATGGAAAACATTCAGATGTCAGAGAAAGTTCAAAATCTTGTCATTTTAAATATAGTTATTAAAGATATTTAGTCAGGAAAGGCAAAGGCTTCCATGCCATAGAAGAGAATATTTTTCTCCACTTCAACCCACTTTTATTTCTTTAATAGCACTAATTAAAACTAGGCATTATTTTATTTATTTGTCCATTTACTTGTACTTACTACTTCTTGTAGTTACTACTTACTACTTCCCTCCAACTTCTACCTACACCTCATGACAGCAACAACCATGACTGCCATGTTCACCATTGGAACCACAGGACCAGGGCTGCCACATGCCTGACACACAGGAGAAGCTCGAGGGGAGTTTACTGATGGATGAGGGGATGAACCAATGAAGGACTGACCAATGGAGACACACACACACATGCACACAGAGGCTGTAGTATGCTATATACTTAGGGCTCATGTTTTCAGAAATTCATCATAATTTACAACCAGATGCTGCTTTTCAAGGGCATTACCCCATGTCTTCCTTATTTTCTTCTTATTTTAAACAATGAACAACCAGAGCCTCTGAGCCCCACTTTGGGAAGCCCACCCCGTTCCTCAGAGACAACACTGCTTTCTGGGCCCCCAGGAGGCCTTTCAAATCTGAGGTGTCCCTACTCCCAGTTCGCCCAGCACTTCTTGTCTGCTGAGCTCAGCAGGTAAGTCACAGGCACTGCCAGCGGCAGGTCCGCAGTTTCAGAGAACTCTGATCCACATCTTGTCTCGTAGTCTTTTCATGTGCTTGTGTCCTACCTGCCTGAACTGACCTGGAAGTGCTGAGGGCAGGGACTGTGTGTTATCATGAGTTTGGGCCCACGCCATGTGAGCTGTGACATTAGAGAAAGCTGGAGGGCACTGGTGGGAGCAGTATTCTAGGTCTGAAAAGATGTGAGTTCAAGTTTTCGCTTTGCCTCTAAACTAGCGAGTAACCTCCGGGAAGTCATCTCTCTGAGTTTGTTTCTTCATCCGTAAAAGGCAGAAAAAATTACTTCCTCCAAAAACACTGGGAAAACTAAATGAGCTAAAATATGATAGCTTCTTATACAGCACAATTTGAATAAAAGAAATGATTACCATTACAGAAAAGCACAAGGTCTTTTTAGTGCTCCTCCTCGAGTTACACCCTCTGTCTTAGGAAACACTTTATTTTTAAGGTGTTCAGATAATTTACTAATTGTGCATAAGGTTTATTATGAGATCCTTAGAGACGCTAAGAAATTCTAGTGCTGGTATTAATGTAAGAAATCTCAACTGAGATTATGTGAGGTGCCCAATGCTCATATTGTCCCTTAGGCTTTGACTTCCATAAACAGATGAACAGACATATAAGTGCTGTGAAGAGAAACCCGGGCAGCGACAGTAGAGGGTGACGGGAGGAGCAGCCTGTTAGGTGCAGGCATCCGAGAGGAGCGCCCTGTGAGAAGGGCCCAGTTGAGTGAGCCGATGACAGCACAAAGGATGAGCTCCAGGCAGAGGGCACAACAAGAACAACACCCGGAGACTGGAACAAGAATGTTATGTCCAAAGAACAGAAAGGAGCCGTGCAGCGGGATCTGAGGAGCAGGAGTGAGAAAGGGAGGAGGTGAGAACAAAAGGGCAGAGTGCGGGTGGGACCACGAGGCAGAGCCAGGTCAGGGAGAGCCTGCGGTCCATGCTACGGGGTGTGGGTGGTATTTTAAGTGCAACAGGACCGCATATCCTGGGAAGAAGGGCCTCGTGAAGTCAGGATGCCTTTTTCCTCCACTGGGAATATAGAAATGAACAGTGGAAATGAGGAAAACAGAGGAGAAGAAAGCACTGAATTTCAAAAGCAGAGTGCAAAAGCACGGCAGGTCTTCTACCGGAACGCCCCAGAGGAGGGGAAGGCACCTGCTGAGCAGCAGGCCCTTCTAGTGGACATCGGCGTGAATTTTCAAAGCACTCACAATTTGAGAACTGTTTCTGCCTAAAAGCACACAGAAAACAGCCAGCCAGGGTGATGAGAGTTCTTGTCAATCCCAGAACCTTCTGAAACCCCCAAGCTGGCAGAGGCTATCTCAAGAATGGAAGTTTCCTAGAGCAAGCAGCAACTGTCTGAAACATCCCATAAAGGGTAGATCCAATGGGAAGGCAGAGGGAGGGCATCTATTTGGCCCAAAATAAATATGCTAATAAATGTGTACAACCTCAAAAACAAACAAAAAGAAACAAACAAAAAAAAGAAATGGTGAATAAAATATTTTGCCAAGTAAAAACAAAATACTCCTCAGAGGGAATCACCAATGACCAACCAGGGCCGGGCCTCCGAATCTTTCAGCTTTGTCACTGTGACACATCAGCTCGTGGCTGGCAGTGATTGGCACCACCATCTCAAAATGCAAGGGACCCAAGGAAAGGGGGGCTGGAGAAGAACAAGGCCAGCTGCACGGCCAGGTTTCAGGAAGGACGTGGAGGGACAGCAATGGGGGCGCAGACAAGCCCGAGGGGTCTGCTGTGAGGAACAAAAGAGCAGGCTGGGGGCTGGGACGTGGTCAGGGAGCTCTGCACAAAGAAAAGCACCTTAGAGATTCTCAAGAATGGGAGTGTTCCGCACCCAATCTATCCCGCAGCATAATTCCATCTTTCCTCGCTGAGTCATCAGGCATCTCAGGACTGGCTATCCTTAGCACTGATACAAAACGAGGGTTGCAGTGTTCAAAAGAGAAGACAATATAATGTCCTTATCCCCCAATCAATCCTGAACATAAGTCAATCTTTAATCTTTGATGATTCAGAAGTCACTTCAGGCCTTGGAAAATCACTCTGATCTCTAATTATCATTCTTCTGTAGTTTGTATAAGTCTCAGATAACAGAGGTTTCTGGTTTCTAGAACTTCCGCAAAAATCACCTTTTATGAAATAGATTTTCAGAAATCAGATCCACGGGCAACTACCTGACAAAAGGCAGCAAACTGAATAAATTTATATGAGAGCATATACATGCATGCATACTGTACGAGCACATGAGTGTGTACATGCATGCATACTGTGTGTGCACATGACAGTGTGCATATGCACGCGTACTGTGTGCACATGACACTGTGCACATGCATGCATACTGTGTGTGCACATGAGTATGCACATGCATGCATACTGACTGTGCACATGAGTGTGTATATACATACATACTGTGTGTGCACATGAGAGCATGCACTTGCATGCATACTGCATGTGCAGATGAGTGTGTACATACATGTATACTGTGTGTGCACGTGAGAGTATGCACATACATGCATACTTATGTGTGCATATGCATGAATGAGCTGGACTGGAAGTCTAACGTTTTAAAAATCTAGAAAAGCCGTTGGAAGTCAAGTCGTAGAGCACAGCTAGAAAGCCAGGATAAATGGTCGTACCTATTTTCTTGTTCCGCTCTTCTCCACGGTTGTGTGCGATAATCGGTGAGTATATGAAGGGGCTCTTGGTTGACACGTTCTGACCCAGCAAGCTTTTCATTTTCTGTGGCCGGAGGCTGGCAGGAAGGTTCAACAGTTTCACTCGCCTATTGTTTCAAATGGAACAAAAATACTTCAACTGCCTTGTTAGCCTGGTTTCAGCATAAATACCAAGTATCACATGTTAGAAAAACAATAAATCAAACAGCAGGTAAACTGAGGGAAGAGAAAGCCCTCAAATTCAGCAGGACAAAGCAGAAGAACGCTGCACGCAATCACTCAGGACCATCCTGGGAGACAAGAACAACTCCACGGGGCCCGGACAGCAGCCATTCCCCTCTGCCCGCTCTGGCTCCAGCTCCGTTGGGGTCCGAAGGGCCAGACTGAATTCTGAACTGCACTATTTGCCAGCTGTATGCCGGTGGACAAGTGCCCTGCCTTCTCTAAACTCAGGTTCCTTGTCTCTAAAACGCACATGAGGCCCCTCACTCACAAAGCTATTGTGAGAATTCAGCTACACGCTCCCAGTACCGTGCCTACTGCTCAGCAAAGGTTGGTTCTCTTCTCTCGCTGCCTCTCTCCTTCCTGATGGGCATGCCCACAGCAAACAGAAGTGCAACCCTGATCTGTAAGATCCGAGGTTTCCACGTGCGAGGGTTAAGAGTGCCATGTGCTTTATTTAAGTGAATGACTTATTCTCCATCAGCATAGTCTGTATCTTAAATTGCTTTCCCAGCTGTGGATGTCTGCTAATCAATACTCGTGCTCAGATCAATCAGCTAGCATTTATTGAAGATTCACCAATCCATGGAGCCTGAGCACATTCAGGCCCAGTGCTAAACACTTCGTATGTATTATCTCAACTAAACATCACAAGCACCTTCCTAGTTTGGGTACTATTACTACCGTCTACACGGTATCAATGAGGAAATTGACACAAGAGAGGGTAAGTATATTGCCCAAATCCCATGGCTGGAAATTGGTGACAGCAGGAGATGCTATGCTCTTAAACCACAGCACCCGCCACCTCCCTTGTGACCAACTAGGCAAGATGGGGGTTAGGATGTGGAATACTCCAAGGGCTGAGACTGAAAGGACAAGGGGTGGAGGCGGGGGAAAGACTGCAAGCTTTGGCAGTGACACTCAGTCCTCCAACCGTATCTACTGCTCCTCCTCTCCCCACCCCCAGCCTCCCTGCAGGAAGATAGGCCAGGGGGTTGTAAGGGGAAGCAATACACGTCCCTCTGAGACAAAGCACTCTAAAGCAGAGTGCCAGCCTCCAGCTCTCCCTTCCACCGCGCGGCAATCCTGGAGGCCAGGTGTTGAGCAGCTGAAGCAGAGGCCGGATGCGGCCTGGGTCACTGAGCAACCTCAGGGCGGTCAGCTGCCCTGGAAAACTGCCCAACTTGCATCCACTCTGTGTGAGTCAGACATAAACCTTTGTCGTAGTAAGGGTTAATTTTTCTGAGATTTCAGGGTTAATTTTTCTGCCTCAGCACAGGCTAAGCTATATTGACTAATAAAGACCCCCTTACAGAACCCACAAAATCACCGCCTTTCTCAGCGGGAGGGAATCTCAGACACCTAGTGCTATCCTGGCCTGCACACGAGCATCCCTACAGCACTCAACAGTCACTGACAACGTCCCAGCCCTGAGAGAGTCACGGTCACACGCGTGATTCTCATCTGTCTCCCACAATAACCAAGGCAGTAGATGGTGCTTACAAACCAAAGTTCTTCAGGCCCAGGATTACAACTTGCACACGTTCTCTGACTCCCCTGTCTGCACGTACCCCATTATGCTTTTATCACACAGGACCAGTCACTTAATTTTCCATCTGTCTCAGTTCAGCTGTGAGCTTTACGAGGACAGCGGCACCTGGGGCCTTATCTGTCTCTAGTCCAGCGCCTAGAGCAACACTTTAATGCGTAGCTCTCAGTAAATGGTGAATGAATGAACTTCCAAAAGTTAAACTGCAAACTCAGCTTCTAAATCTTTCAAAAGTATATACTCAAGGCTAAGCCGTTTATCACTAACAGTTGCAAATCCCAGCCCCTTGTGAACATTCAAAAACCACCTGCTGCACTGCGCTGGGACTGCCAGGAGCAGAGCCTCAAGCCGGCTGAGATGCCACGCCTGACGTGCATCTTACGTCCACACGCGTCCGACCACAAGGCACTCACCTGCAGTTAGTTCTCAGCCTGCTCCCGACAAGCATCCTTCAGTAGTGCGCAGACCCTGGCTGCAGTCTGAAGGACCTACCAGCTGTACAACTTGCACAGATGACTTCGTCTCCCTGGACCTCAACACTTTCACTTATAAAATAGGAAAAATAATAGGCACCTGATAATGTTGTGGGGAAAGGGAACACTGCCTTTCCCTAGTTCCATGTTTCCACGGGGAGTGATGTCCTTAGAGGAACAGTCCTGACCTCACTCTGCCCCTCTCTCATTCCTTCTCAGGGAGGCAGTAAATGTGGAAGGAGAACCAGGGGGTGCACAGCTGAGGCCCCTCTCTTGGGGTCCCCCTGCAGAGAGCACATACTCTGTCCTGCTCTCTGCACGGAGTGAAAGGGGCCTGCCCCTGTGAAAGAGTGTACAGCTGCCCAGCTGTGCCAGAGTCTGGGGTAACACCCTGTGGCCAACCTGAGCCGTGCTGTTCACTGTCTCTTCCATCTTCCTGAGACAGATGTTTCTTTCTATTGATTCCAAACTCAGTGTCTGCAGTAGGTATCTTCAAACCGTAGCAGGTTACTTTGAGGACTGAGTTAATATATGTAAAGTCCTTATAATGGTGCCTGACACACAGCAGGTGTGCAAAAGCCTTTCTCTTTTTCCCCCCTTAAAACAACACTTGTTTATAAACATAGAGAGCCAAGTCCCTGGTGCAAAGATTGCACCACTGGACTGGAGTAAAGAAACTAAGTTTTGGTCCCAATCATGCAGTGGGCCTGCTGCTGAACCTTGGACCAGGGCACAGTTTATTTGAGCCTTAGAGTTTACTCATTTGTAAAATGACTCCATTTTCTTGGAACACAGCTTTCTACTCCATACCATAGTCACCATCTAAAGATAAGATGTCATCTGTGATTCTACAGAAATCATCTACACAAGCACAGAAATTCCGGATCACATAAAAGGTTTTTAAAATATGCAAAGGAGGGCCGGCCCTGTGGCTTGGTGGTTAAGTGCGCGCGCTGCAATGCTGGTGGCCCGGGTTCGGATCCCGGGTGCGCACCGAGGCACCACTTCTCCGTCCATCCTGAGGCCGAGTCCCACATGCAGCAACTAGAAGGATGTGCAGCTACGACATACAACTATCTACTGGGGCTTTGGGGAGAAAAAATAAAATAAATAAAATCTTTAAAATATGCAAAGGAATTCTGAGGGCACGGTCAGCCAGAAAAGTAACCCAACAAGCAGCCATGGCATTCACTCATAACTCAACATCTAGCATTAAATGTCTTTTTATAACATGCACCCTACAGAAAAACAATCGTTCAAGGCTCCTGACCTAAAGGAAACGACGCATTTGGCATGAATCGCTGCAGGACTAATACATTGCACTTAGTCTATGAGTCTATGATGCTGCCAACAGTGAAGCAGAATTCCAGGGATAAAGCATCCAAGACAAGGATTATATTTAGAGATTCCATTTGGAAACTGTTGACATTTCAAAAACCTGACTTTCCTCAGCATACTGTGGCTAATTGGGACTATGCAAAGCAACGGTGGATCACTAATTAGGAAAGTGACATAAAACAAATTGGTTGAGAGGAATGACACAGGAAAAAACAAGGCACCTTTTCTTTCTTGGTTTTTAATCCCTTAACCATATTTACAGTGGAAACTTATCTAAGAACCTACTGGATGTCTCTGAACAGATGGGCAATGACTGAAACTGGCCCCATCTGCCCCATATTTGGAACCATGTGAAGGTCACCCACTCTTCCAAGTCCAGGCATGACTGAGACAGCTGGAAAGGGCACAGCATGCCAGCCAGGTTTGCAGTGCGTGACCACTCCACTCTTATCCCTGAATGCTGCTATACATTTCTTATTATCTTCAAAAAGTTCTAGTTTAAGAAATCCGTAAGGGTGGTTATGGGCTTGGCAATTATACCAAGCGTGACAGAAGATTCTGGACAACTGCATGAACCTGGTGAGATCATGGAAGCCACATCCTGACTGGTCTCTGGGAGGCCAACTTGTCCCTGTATCACAAACCAAGAGAAATTGCCCTGTATATCATGGCCTCTAAGCCCCTTTTTGAATAAATGCCTGTAATCCTTCCTCAAACAGTATAATTAACTTAAAAGTTTAAGTTTTAAAAGCACCAAAGCCGGGGCCGGCCCCGTGGCTTGGTGGTTAAGTGCGCGCGCTGCGATGCTGGTGGCCCGGGTTCGGATCCCGGGTGCGCATCGAGGCACCACTTCTCCGTTCATCCTGAGGCCGAGTCCCGCATACAGCAACTAGAAGGATGTGCAGCTACGACATACAACTATCCACTGGGGCTTTGGGGGGAAAAATAAAATAAATAAAATCTTTAAAAAAAAAAAAAAAAAAGCACCAAAGCAACTCAAAGCTCATTCTGATCCTCATCCATATAACACCCTCGTTAACTCCAGAGCTCCTTGCCAGGCTGAAGGACCCTAATGCCAGCTCATCAGAAAACAGTCAGCTAACACCACCCCCCCAGGCCCAAATTAAAGACCCACTGGTTTGCTGTAAATGGCATCTAAACTCTACTCCAATTTCTTCTTTAATAATTCACTACTTGTAGTGTGTGAATAATCTACATGATTATTATTGGGTTTTCTGCATATTATCATTTTTGTGGGGAATTCTGTAAGGAATAAAATAAGGCTTCTATAGTTTTAATTGAACTTTCCTCTGCTTTAACTCTGGGCAGTAGTAAGTGGATATGGGTTTGGCAGCCTCCTGCATACAGGCTCATGCTTCACCATCACTGAAGCTCTAGCATTTACCATTGGGCCAAGCACATCTCAGGCACTCAATATATTTGATTAACTGAATTTTTGAACAGAATTAAAACAGGGATGTATTTTGCCCCCCCCCCTTTTTTAATTAACTTGCATCATGATTAC